ATATCCATTTGCCAAAATTTTCAATCTTTATTTACTGCAAGTACTGAAGGAACTTGTACAATAATGATCTTTGCCACTGGACTAAATGTTTTATCATAGTCTAGTCCATATTGTTGAGAGAACCTTGGATCTACAGTCTGAGTTTTGTATCTCACGATTGATCCATCCGGGGTATACTTTATTTTGTAAATCCACTTGCAAAAGATAGATTTAACATCTCTTGATCTTGACACTAGTTCCCAAGTTTGATTTTGCTCCAGGGCTATAATTTCTTCCTCCATCACTTTTTGCCAAACCAAGTTTTGTGACACATCCTTATATATCTCTTGCTTATTAACTTCGTCTTCTACAATAGTTGTGTTGGCATACTCTAGACATGGCTTTTGGATTATTTCTAATTGTCTTAGTTGTTGAGGTGCCCTTTGTTTTTCACTAGGTTCGCTTGGTTGAGTCACTTCTTGTTCACCAACACTAGCATCACTTGAATCTTTAGGCACATCAACACTTTAGCAAATGTGTACCGTTTGTTCCACCATCTTTTGTGGAAGAATCTCTTCAGTTTTCTCTCCCGTCAGAAGAATTTCTTCAATTTGCTCAAGGCCTGGTAATACTTCCTTCTCTGAGGGACACCCCTCTTCCATTGCACCACTTTGATTGTCAATCATGTGGTTTGTGTATCCTGAATCAATGATCCAATCATTCTCATAATCGATATGGTCTCCCATCATCGCCATGAGTGCTAGCTCATCTTCTTCTATGGCATACAATACCTCTACATCCCATTCCTCCTCCATCTCCCTGTTGGAGGATGCCACATTGCTTTCGATAGATTTTTTCTTAGACCAACAATCTCTAGACATGTGGCCCTTCTTCCAGCAATTGTAGCGAATGCCTCCATATCTCTTCCCATGAGAGTTATTGTTATCATTCTTCTAAGCTCTCCCTGGTTGTACAGTTCCTTGGTGACTTCTTCTTTTGTCACCATTGTATCCACGTTTGGTAGAAGACCTATTATTGCTCAAATTTTCACTTGTGTAGAGTGCTTCTTCTTCACCCTTCAATGTGATGCCTCCTATTTGTTTAGCTATGGTTTCTTGGCTGGCTAACAAATTTTTAAACTCTACAAGTGATGGTTAAGTGGATCATCCTTGTACAGCAATAATAAAGCTTCTCTATTCTGGTCGCAATCCGTGGATTATAATCCTCTTCATTCAAGATTCTACAATGGCAGACTTCGGGTCCAGTTCAGTAATTTCCCGATAGATCGACTTGACCTTGTGGAAGTACTGAGCAATCGTCATGTCACGTTGTGAAATTGACAACAACTCATTCTCCAGAAGTTGTAGCCTCGTATCGTTCTTCTTTGAGAACAACATCACAAACGTGTCCCATACTTCTTTTGATGTCTTGTCATCCCAAATATGCTCTAACATCTCTTCTCCGATTGTGGTCGTCTAGCGGCATAGTTTCACACCCGCGAACGATCTCCCAAAGATCATGTCCTTGTAAATAGGACATCATGCATGTTGCCCACGTGTTGTTGTTGTTGTTGTTGAGTTTTTTTATCCTCCAACGATTTGGAAATCACCCATCGTGTTGGCTATACCTCAGTAATACTAAACAAGCTCTTTCGACACAAGACTTGTAGAGTCACAGACTACTCACGACACAAAAGAAACTCACTCACTACTAATCTAAAGAAATTGTTTCTAATGTGGAAGATCAGGCAGAGTTGCAACCACAAAGCATACTAAGAATTCCAAGCGATCAGATAACCCACACTAACTTGGCTCTGATACCAGATTGTTGAACACAACTCTCTATAGGAAACACTCGCACACTTTATTAAGATCAATCGAGAAGAGATTTACAAAACACTCTATAGACTACTACTTTGTATTGCTTGGAATTTATGAACTAAGTAGGGTTCGAACAACGGTACAAAATAAAATAGAATAGAATAAATAAATAATAATAAAATCAGAAATAATACATCTCTCCACTAATACAACCAAACTTCTTCCACAACTGTCTCAACACCTCCTCCAATTGTCAAACAATTCTAAAAAAACAAAAAAAAAAAAATGGTAAATTTCCATGAGAGAGATGTTGTTATTCTTGGAAAAGAAAAAAAAAATAAAACAGAATGAAAAAAAACGTCAGATTTGAGAAAAACGAAAATGGCCTTCACCCGTAGAAAATGAAAATGGCCTTCACCGGTAGGCGTAGATTTACGTGAAGAGGGGTGTGGTTGTAATGGTACACATTAAATCATTCCTTTTAATTTATCCTAAATTTCATTCTAGGAAATCACAACCAATTATATCTAAAATCTTGACTTCACAATTATTTAGGTCAATAATTTTGTATGAATTATGGTAAATCATTAGCTAAATGATGATTAAATTAGGAACTAATACTATCTATGAATGTAAATCAAGAATAAAAAAAAATAATAATAAAGAAACAGGAAAGATTCGGAAAGAAAGATCCATTAGAATAGAAGGAAGAAAAATACAGAGAATCCAAAATTGAGAGAAGAAAACAAAAATATAGAAACATGAAAGATTTGGGGAAGAAGAATCCATTAGAATATATAGAATAAAAATAGGCAGGAGAAAGGCCTAACAAAATCAAAAGAAAAAAAAGGGAAAATACATCATACTATTAACAACAAAAAAAAAAACAAAAAAAAAATAAGAGTAAAGAACTGATTAAAAATTGGCTAATAATAAATGTGAAAGATTTTGAAGTAAGAGAAAATATTTCTGAACACAAATTAAAAGATAAAGGGAGGTACATGTACACACAAAGAAAATGGAAGATCAGATTAAATATCAATAAGAAAATGAAAGATCATAAATATTAGACGGCAACAAGAAAATGAAAGATCAGAAATATCATAAGGCAACAAATATTAAAAGATAAGGAGAGTACATATAGAAAATGAAAGGTCAAATTAAATATCAAATGGCAAGAAAGCACGAAATACTGTCACTTCAAATAATTCCATCAAATTCTTAAGATGGTAATACTAGAAAATGAAATCTTAATAAAAATAGAGTTATATATAAATATCTATATCTATATCTATATCTATATCTATCTATATATATAAATATCTATATCTATATCTATATCTATATATATATATATATATATATTGAGCATATTGAGCATGTTATATGATGATGAGTGCCATATTGCATCATGTCATTAGATCGACATAGGATACAACTCTAAGAGCATGAAAATGATATTAATATAAATATCCATGAGTATGTATTACCTAGATTAACAAAGAGATGAGACTAGAAGGTTGTGTCAGAAGAGACATTATGATGGATTTAGAGGGACCTCATGCATATTGTATAATCATAAGCATAGGGCTACTTCCTTTAGAGATGATGAGTGCGGATGCGCACAGTATGATGATGAGTGCGAATGTGCACGAGCATAAATGCACACAGATGAGGGTGTTCATGAGGTGCATGACACTATGGAGTTTCGCTGACCTCTGGACGTCGCTACAGATTAGCTTGACCAGAGGGACAAAAGGTGTGCGAGCGCCCTAGAGATTCACACTCACACGTGTGAATTGTGTGTAGGGAAGTACTACACATCCAATTTGTCGAGGCACCCCTTAAGATGATTAGAGATATGTCCTTAAATCATGATTGCATGTGTTTGCATTTGCATGGCCCCCTATAGTAGGTATTGCCATGAGTCTCACAATTTTAAAACGTGCCTATTAGGGAGAGGTTTTCGCACCATTATTAGGATTGTTTCGTTCCTCTCTCCAACAGCCAATAGATATTATCTACTTTAATCTGTTACGCATCGTTCCTCTCTCCAACAGTCAATAGATATTATCTACTTTAATCCGTTACGCATCGTCGTTCTCTCTAATCGATCTGGGATCTCACTATCAACTCCTTCTGAATGCCAAGAGTCCTCACTGGCACATCGCCTAGTAACTAGCTCTGATTTCATTTGTAAAAGTCCAAGCCCACTGCTAGCAGACATTGTTCATGATCTGGGATCTCACTATCAACTCCTTCTGAATGCCAAGAGTCCTCACTGGCACATCGTTTAGTAACTAGCTCTGATTTCATTTGTTGTGCCAAGTAACTAGCTCTGATTTCATTTGTAAAAGTCCAAGCCCACTGCTA